CCTGCAGAAGCCGCAGCTGTGCCCTGAAGATGGAGTTGCTTGGAGGCAGCAGGGGAGAAGAGGGCCTTGGTGGCCCCCAGGACAGCAAGACCACTAATATGGTTCCCGTGGACCCACACAGGAGCGAGGAGCCAGAACAGCTGAAAAAGGGGAGCCACTCAGAGGCCAGTGAGTCATCGCAAGAGACCAGCGCAGGGCCCATCCCATGGGAAGTGTTTGCAGCACGGGCGGTGGGTGAGATGGGAACACCTGGAGAACACTGGGACACAGCAAGGACAGCTGACCTGCCCCCCAATCAGTGCAGGACCACTCAGAGGAGACTGGTCGGGAATGCAGAATTGCATGGGGTGCAGTTGGATGAAAAAACTCAGGCCCAGATCAGAGATTCTACAGAACACAGACCCACCGGGTCTCTGGAGATCCGGAAGTACCTATAAGGTCAACCATTGAATCCTGAGCTGCACAAAAAGCCTTCCCTAGGGAAACAGCAGCAAAGCAGCAATTTAAACAACCACACAGCTCAAGTACTGGTTCCCACAGGAAGTTCCCCTGTGTTAGAAGTAAGCAAAGGACAAAAAGTTGGTTCCGGCCCAGGAACACCAGCAATACCTTGAGGTCTACCATGGGACATGAGTCATGAGGCCTGGGGGAGGACCCACTCACACAACCAGCACCTTGGGACCCTGCCCAGGAACCCGAGGATTGGAGCCAGGACCAGACCCCACTCCCACATCCAGGCACACCACCAAAGCCTCAGGGCCTGCCAGGGGACATGGAGCTAGCAGCTGGGGACCAGACCTCCTTCCCAGACCCAGGCACACCATGCCAGCACCTCAGGGCCCACCCAGGATCCCAGGGCAAGGAGAAGGGGACCAGATCCTCCCCCGCAACCAGGCACACCTCACCAGTGCCTCGGGGCCCACCCAGGGTCCTGGGGCATGGAGAAGGGGACCAGATCCCCCTCACATAACCAGGCTCACCACAACCAGTGCCTCGGGGCCCACCCAGGGACTCGGGGTATAGAGCTGGGGATCAGACACTCCACAACCAGGCACACTGCCAGCACCAAGGAGCATGCCAAAATCATCTCCTCCGTGTGGGTGGCCCACCACAGCCACCATGATATCCATGGCTGCCACAAGGTGACTAGATGCCACTACCACCATGCAGATGGTCCGCCAGCCACTGGAGTGCATTCACAAAAGAAGAGTCACCAGCAGAGATAAAGAAAGGAAGAGGACATCTCTCCCCACGGGGCCCATTTCAGAGTGATGGAAGAGATATCTGCTCTATGATAGTATTGGGGGACCTGATCACACCTCTCAGCATTGGACAGATCATTTGGACAGCAAATCAACAGAGTAACCATTATTCTTCCAGAAGGAGAGAGGAAATCTAGGGTGATTAGAAAGGGGACGGGGAGAGGAAGGGGGATGGGGTGGGATCGGACAGGGGTATAAAGAATAAGTATGATTTGTAACGATATATATGCTAGCAATATTGATTTGATCAACAGATGTCAATGTTGAAACCCAAAAATATGTATAATCAATTTTGATTCAATAAAAATTTTTTATAAAAAGGAACTGAAGGTTCCCCAGATTCTCAACCTACAGGGTGAGAGGAAAGTCAGTGTTTTCGGTGATCTCAGAAGAATAAACTGAATCATTCTCTGACCAGGTGGCCACTCTGAGCTGCAGATCATCTGAATTCCAGCGTTCTTGAAATGTATAGTTCTAATTCTGATATGTAGCACCTAACAGTTTTTTCCCCTCCAAAAGGAAGCCACCAACCAAAAAATAAAGTCAGAACAAGTAAGAAACAGCTTTGGAACAGCACATGGGGAGGAGACCAAGGTGTTTAGTTGATTACAACCTAGAAATCCAAGCGGTTGCCCCGATGCCCAGATGTGGGTGGTTCAGAACAGCTAGAAGATGATCTTGCCTGGCTCCATGTAGACACATGTGCCCTGAGATTGGAGATTTGAGCCAGGTCACTTGGGGGTGCATGTGAACAGACACTGGGCCTTGAGCTATTCTCAAATGCTTAAAAAATCTTAAAGAGGACCTGTTAGTGGAGAAGGGGTTAGAGGCCTGGAGGGAAGGGCAGGGAGTCCTGCTCAATGCTAACACCAGGGGCTGAACCAGCAGCCTCCACAGAGGAAGGCTGCGTGACCATGTTCAGGGAGGCTGTGAAGAGCGGGGCTGACGTGGGTTACAGCAGGCACTGATGAGGCCCCTCCTTTCCAAACCTGTGACTCTGTGGCTGAGAGGAAGCCAGGGCTGCATGCAGGAAGCCTAGGACACCTCCCCCTGAGCAGAACCAGCCACCTGGAGGGGGCACTGATAGCTTCTGCCAGAGGCGCCGGGCCCCAGCTCTGACTTGTGTTGGCCTGGGAAGCAAGGCCAGACTCCAAGTTGGCTTCCTCCCCCCATCAGAGGCTGTTATGGGCTGAACTGTGTCCCCTTCAAATTCACCTGTTGAATTCTTACCCCCAGATCCTCAGAATGTGACTGTATTTTTAGACAAGAATGTGAGAATCTTCCAAGAGGTAATTAAGTTAAAGTCATTAGGGTGGGCCCTAATTCAATCTGACTGCTGTCCTTATAGAATCTTCCAAGAGGTAATTAAGTTAAAGTCATTAGGGTGGGCCCTAATTCAATCTGACTGGTGTCCTTATAAGAAGAAGAGATTAGAACACAGACAAGTACAGACAGATGACCACAGGAGGACACAGGGAGGAGAGGGCCATCTGCAAGCCCAGGGAGAGGCCTCAGGACAAACCTTGGACTTCCAGCCTCCAGAAGGGTGAGAGAATCAATGTGTGTTGTTTAAGCCACCCAGTCCGTGGTCCTGTGTTACAGCAGCCCCATCAGCCTAACGCAGAGGCTTTCTACACACTATGGAGGAGACAGATGCATGCTCTGGGCAGGGGGTACTATCCTGGCTCCCGGGGGTTCCAATCCCAGAGGAAAAAGGATGATCAGAAACTCCCCACCCCCGCCATGCCCAGACTGGCAGAGCTGGGCAGGGACCCCAGGTAAGCTCAAGGGAGGGGAAAGCAGACAAAAAGCCCTCACATCTGTCCTGAGCTCAGCTCTTCCTAGAATTTGGCATCCCCTCGCTCAGCCAGTGAGCAGGAACCGGTCTGTATGTGGGATCCGAACCCTCGGCGGGAACGCTGCCACACTCCCAAGCGGTGCACTGTAGCAGTGCGCCACCGGGCCGGCCCCCTACTGATATTTAAATCTCCTCCAGAGAACTGGAGCTAGGAGTACTACTCAGGGTTAGCTAAGTGGTGAGCAAATCGTCCCCCATAGATGACCTCTGTGGCATTTGTCACATGGTTTTTTTGTCTTTTTTCGTGTCCGGCAACGGATCGCAACCCTCAGCGTCGCGCCCGTACCGGACCGGGACCAGCACCGGGATTGCAACCCTCGGTGTTGCGCCCGCTCCTCGCTCAGCCAGTGAGCGGGAACCGGTCTGTATGTGGGATCCGAACCCTCGGCGGGAGCACCGCCACACTCCCAAGCGGTGCACTGTAGCAGTGCGCCACCGGGCCGGCCCCCCTACTGATATTTAAATCTCCTCCAGAGAACTGGAGCTAGGAGTACTACTCAGGGTTAGCTAAGTGGTGAGCAAACCGTCCCCCATAGATGACCTCTGTGGCATTTGTCACATGGGCTGTCCCAGAGCAGTGGAGCTNACCCACCTGACGACGTGGAAGGCCCAGAGCAGGCGGTCGGCCCTGGGCCCGCGCGCGACACGCACGATGCTGAGGTACAGGTAGAGGGCGATGGCCACGGTCCAGAAGAAGGAGCTGGTGTTGGCGAAGCTGGAGAGCGCGCCCTGCAGCACGCAGTCCCACGAGGGGCCCGCGAAGTCCTGCAGCACCCCGTAGAAGTAAGAGGCGGCCGAGAGCAGGTCGGCCAGCGACAGGAAGAGCAGCAGGCGCCGCGCCCGGCTGCGCAGGTCGGGCCACAGGGCGTGCGTGGCCACCAGCAGGCTGGAGCCCAGCGCGGAC